TTCCTTGCAAAATGTTACATATAACTTATTTATAAATGCCACGTGTATTGTGTATATTACGTATGTTATACGCACACTATACAACTATACATACTGTACGTACTGTACGTACTGTACGCTAAAAAAATTCAGGTATCATATAAATGAATATATATATATAAAGTATTGTACGGAAGAGTATTTAGTACTGTACTGTACGAAATTTTAATATGTAATAATACAGTACATAGTTTATAGTATATAAGAAATTTAGTATCGTACTGTACTATATAGTATGTTATAAAAAAATGGGAATACAGTACATCTCTCATATTGTGATAAAATTATTAGCGAATTTAGTATTGTACTGTACGAAGCATAGTGATAGTTAAAAGAAAAGTACAGTACATACAATTAGTAAATGTTATCGTTACGCAAATTAGACTATAACGATCACTATCATTATCATTCTCATAATTAATAAAATTTTTTTGATTCGTTTTACATTTGTTTTCTTTGCATTATTTGCATTATTTGAAATATTCGAACATACAAAAATAAAAAAATGAGTTGCTCATTTAATACAAGTTCATCTACGATTAACTCTGATGATGAATGGGATTCTGATTCGTTGAGCGAGGATACCCAAGATCCTGAGAATCCATTTACGGTATATAATTTATATTTGTTATTCTGAAACTAGAAAATAAATATTTAAAATTTTAAAATGTTTAAAAATATAGTGGGATTTTAGTAAACAAATTGACGAAGAATTATCTGATGAAATTCAGGAAATTGAAACAGTAAATATTAATATTGCGAATTAAATATAATTTATTAATCATTAATATTGAATTAAATATAATTTATTAATCATTAATATTGCAAATTAAATATAATTTATTAATCATTAATATTGCGAATTAAAATATGATTTATTAATTATTAATTTTTAATTACACATTTAATTAATATTGATCTAGCCACAGTTAATTAAATTAGGCAGAGCTAATGATGAAATCGTTACAAAAATAAAGTATCAATTAGAATTTGAAGAATACCCGGAAACATCAGAAGAAGGGGTTGCCTGTATTTACAACGTTACTGGCATGAATATTGAAAAAGCTAAAGAGATTTTTGATCTCAAAAATATTCAATATTTGTATAAGGATGGAACTGTTCGGGAAAGCGTTTATTGTCCTTTTTTACAAACAAAAGTTTATAAAGAGACACAAAAATGTAATAGTATCAAAATGTGCCAATTCGTAGCTCCAGAATTAGCATCAATGACTCACTCATCAGTAGATTTTAATGATAATTGATTCAAATGAATTATCGTTGGATACTAATACTTTAAAGTAAGTGTATATTATATATTATTTATTTTATATATATATCACTAATATCTGGCTATAACAACATCTTTTAAAATTTTGATTCTGTATGTTTAATATAAAAATGCATTAGTGAACTAATATCTAAATATATTATACAATTTATTTATTTATTTTTTTTTTTTGGTGTTAAGGTGACCATTAACAGTAAATCAGAAGAAATTCATAGAACAATTTGAATCTCAATTATCCACGCACCTTAAAAATGTCGGAG